CGTCACCCGGTCGACCGTTAGAAGAGTTGACTAGTATGTGTAGTTTCCTTGTCCGATTTACTCGACGCGAATATGTTGCCACTTTCGAAATGTAATAACGTGTGATGTCTGCTGGCGCACTTGTTACACACGGAACTAGAATTGCATTTAGCAACTAAATGTCTATCGCTTAGGCAATTTAAACATAAGTTGTTCGTCTTTATTATTCTATAAAGTTCGCTGGGTGAATGTTTACGGAAGGTCGCACAATTATACAAATTACCGTGTTGTTTATTCTTACATAGAATACAGGCGCTATGAGGCTATGTAGGCGCCGCGATTACATACGTCAGAGACCCAGCGGTCGTAGTTGATGAGATCTGTCTGCGCTCGACACATTTCTTAACTTCTTGTTTGACATTCGAGGAACGCTGTATTACTTTAATTTGATCTCGTACAAAGGAATCTAAGGAGTCGAATGACGGTAACTCAGAGCAACGATGCTCCATTTCAAACGCACGCACGGTGTCCGAGTCTAGCTTCTTTAAGGCGATATGTAGAAACACAACGTCCATAAGGTCATTAAATTTCAGGTTCTTGAGCGCAGCTACCGATACTACGAATTTATCCAAAAACTGCTCTAAGCCAGTGATGTTCGCGGATGATATAGCTTTAAGATCTAATATCTGGTCTAGATATGAAGAGGCTAACATTCGCTTATCTTCATATTTGTTTTTAAGCGTTTCGAAAATTAACGAATAATTGTTTGCTGTTGGTGTGAAACCCGAAAAATGGACTGTGCCCTACCACTCAATTTACTACTTAAATAATACAATCTTTCAGCGTCCGATAACGATGGATTGTTATGTATAGTGTTTTGAAAGCTATTAATAAACAACGGCCAAGTTTTAATATCCCCATTGAATACAGGAATATATATAGGGGGCAATCTAAGTGATTCACATGGGCGTACCTGAAATTCTGGTTTTGCTTCGCTCTGGGCTGGAAACTGTAAGAGCTTTGCCGTCTTTTTTATGCGACACAACATATCTTCAAATGATTGAAGTGATTGATAGTTCACTGTATACTTGAGGTCGATTTGTAATTCTAAACTATTAATTTTGTCTAATATATTTTCGTAATCCGATCTCAAAGAGTCCACTGTTTCGATTTCACATAAAAACGTTTCCCGCACTGAATCTACGTTAATATTTTTTATGTGATCACTTATGTATTGTATACGTGAAAAAAGTACATCGCTTTTGGCGTAAAGAGTTTTAAGTTTAATTTCATTTCCACTAACTACCATCTTGAATCACTCTAATTAATATTAGATTATCCCGAACAATACCGTACAACGTTGGAAGACGAAAATTCACAATGCGCTACTGTCTAATCGTGCCGTATCACGACGTTCAATTGAACACTTTGTCAGTAATATTTTTTTCTTGCGTGAAGGTAAGTTGCAAACAAATGAGATAACACACGCGTCGACTAGGTAGGAATTTAGAACTCGTATAAATGTTACAAATAGCGGAATAAGGTAAACCGAAATTAAGCGGGTCTGACTATTTAAATAAATAAGTAGGTATCTGTTTACCTATGCGAATAAACTAACCAAAATTTAAAATTAAACTAAACAAAAAACTTAATAAAATTTATCCAATATTAAATTAGAGTGTATTGTCCAAGATATTGGTTCAGCAGTTCGACTCAGTGAGGCTACAGGGCACCAGTTCCAAATCCTGCTCGAAGGACCAGAAAATGGTTGGGCGACGGGCCTAGGGGTTCCCGAGTTCGATTCCCAGGTCGAGCCTTGACTCTATTGTGCGAGATGTTATACTAGGTGGACTGTATACGCGGTTGGCTTCTTATGCCTCAACAAGTTGGTGGTGATTGCTGCGTGGCTGATTGAGTGGTGTGTGTATCTGGTGTTTGATCTGTAATTGGTGGTGATTGCTGCGTGGCTGATATCAATTGAGTGGTGTGTGTATCTGGTGTTTGATGTGTAATTGGTGGTGATTGCTGTGTGGCTGATATCAATTGAGTGGTGTGTGTATCTGGTGTTTGATGTGTAATTGGTGGTGATTGCTGCGTGGCTGATATCAATTGAGTGGTGTGTGTATCTGGTGTTTGATGTGTTATTGGTGGTGATTGCTGCGTGGCTGATATCAATTGAGAAACATTTAGTTGTGGCGTTTCAGGTGTTTGAGGTTTGCTCAGTGATTCAATAAATGCCGTATACGGTGAGTACCTATAGAGAGATGAATGTGAAGAAAACAGCTGTGACTGATAAATGTATAATGGTCTACTATTATTGAATATCATTACGAAATGAAGGCAGTCGTTCATGAGGCATTTTGCGAATATGAGGTGGGAGACTTTAAAAATATTAAACTATTATCATCTTCATTTTGACTTCTTTTTTTTTCTAATAATCCAGTTTTTGCCTTTCTATGTCTAACATATTTTTTTTTATATTTTGTCATAATGATATCTATCAGAAACAGCAGGGATGTAATAAGGCTATTTTGGTTCGTAGGAAGTAAATGCTCCATCCCCAGAACGTGTGACGGGAATTTTTGCATGTTCGCTTGAGAATTGGTCATTCAAATATTTCCATTTCTTCTTGATTTTGCTTTCTAAAATATAAAGTATTTTATTTTTATTTTAGGTATGTTGCAACACTGGCATCATTTGCGCATTTGGCATCTGAATTTAGAATGAGGATTTCTACAGTAAAGGTGATAATCGAAGAAACAGTCAATATATTATGGGATGAATTACAACCAATAAATATGCCTATACCTACATAAGAAATTTTCTGCTTTATAGCAAACGACTTCAACATTATTCGAGATTTTCCGAATGTTTTAGGGGCCATCGACGCGAAGCATGCACGCGTAATCTGTTCACATAGGTCAGGATCTATGTTTTTCAATTGCAAATTTTTTTTCTATGGTTTTGCAAGCAGTCACAGACGCAAATTACAAATTTACAATCGTTGAAGTTGGTGGATTTAGTAAACAAAGCGACGGTGGAACATACAAGGTTTCCGAACTATATCAAAATTTAAATACTGGGGAGACGGATATTCCAGAACCAGAATATTTACCAGGAACGAATGTGAATGCACAGTATATATTTATAGGCGATGAAGCAAATCCATTGCTAAAAAAATTGTTAAACCTTTTGGAGACAGAGATTTGTCTTCAGAGCAAATGAATTTTAATAAGCGTCTATCGAGAGCTAGAAAATCTGTTGAGTGTGCGTTCCGCATGGCAAACTCAAAATGGCGACTACTTTCCAAATGCATTGCATGTAATGTTAATTTAACAGAAAAAAAATGTTAGGTGCATTTGTGTTTTACACAACACTATAATCGATAAAGAAGGCATCGACCGAAACTTTACTCCTGTAAATACAGTACATTCAAGGTGGTATAGGTCAAGTTACCCTACAAATGAAGCAATGGATATCAGAAATATTTACGTTGCCTATTTTTTACACAATACATTGACTTACAATAATTCATTCTTAATTATGTATCTACCCTCACTAACATTAAGATACCTGCCTATTTATGATTCTTGTAAGTACCCCTAGAATAAATGGTTAATTTAATAAGGATATAATATTTAAATAAAGTACTTCTAAAACGTAACCGATTTAAATGTTCATTAATTTTATCTAAGTCGACAAACTAAAATAAAATCAAATATTACTCATCGTTTTCATTCATTGCCCCTCTTATTTCTTTCCAACATTTGTCAATCACCTATCTATTAGAATGCCTTTATCCGTTTTGTCCCACACGGTCGTTTACTGAAGACTAAGGAAATCAACACGTCACTATCTATTTTTTTATTTAACAAAAATATATGCGTGTCGTAGTTGTACGTGTTGTCGTATAGTTGTTCGTTAATTTTAAATAGCGGGAGGCGCCAGCGCTGGCCGGCGCGTGTTGAATATTGTCGGAACTTGTCGGCGACGTTCGGTACTTATCGGCGCTTGTTCATATACCGGTTCCTATAAGCGCTGGTAGGCTGCCAGCTTTCTTTCTGTATACGGCCTCACACTGCCATCACACGGTTTGAGCAGAATGGTTCTTTCTCCAAATGTCACGTTTGTGAATGTGAAAGGCGATTTTTTTTACACATGGCGTACTTTGCTCTACTGTGTAATACGAGTAAACAAGGATTTGTTGACCGATTGATGGTTGAGATCCCATACAAAAATGCTGAAATTATAACAAATTGATTGGTAATAAAGAACATCATACCCAGTGCCAGCTTCCTTCGCTCCGGCTCCTTCATCCGCGTGCCCACCGTTTCGGAGCACAAACAACTATTTCATAAAATGCTTCCTTGATTGGTCATTCTTGAAAGTGGTTATGTCAAATATTGTGGGTAAAGAAATCCTAGAAATAAAAAATATTTAAAATGAATTAAAATCTATCAAGTTTCAAAACTAGAGCAACGTAATGAACGCTTGATGATTCATACATTACCCAGAAATTTAAAAAAAAACCTGTTGCACCAAATGTAATAGATCCAGAGTAATGAAAAAGTGAACTCACATTTAGATCTATGATATAATAAAAAAGAAAAAACATTAATTACGCATAATTAATGTTTTTCCTTGTGTGCGTTAAAATATTACCTATAGTAAAAATTTATGGACATTTAATTACCACATAACACCATATATAGGCTACTTAAATACTCAATTTTCTCGCCAGTTCTCTGTCTAAGCCGATAATTATGCATTATCTATACTTTTTCATCAGTCCATAACAGGTCAATTCAGGACGTAGGCCTTACAGTGTAGGGAAGATATGCTTAGTCATCGCAACACTGCAGGCGTATTGGCGATAACATTTCCTCCCGCATCTTTAATGCTGCTGTACGTCGTCGCTTTGAGCATTTTATATCTGGCATCAACGATATAATCATTGCCATCTTTATACTAGATCATAATTATTATAATATAATATAATGATCACAATAATCTTGTTACAGGCAGCTTATTATTTGCTTCACGGAAGATATGTTGGCACATATGAATCCTGTAGTACTTCTGCATTTAAACATGGACGAACCGAAACCATGAGACCGTGTACGGAAAAAACAAAGGTAAGCAGGCGAGTAATGAAGGTGTAACTAATCTAAATTGAGAATAGAAATATTAATATATTAGCTATCCGCCGCGGCTTCGCATGGGTAATTTATAGATCTCGACAGTAGCGCCACTTACAGAGTCCAATTGTGCATCTAAACCATCCAGGTACCAATCCAAAAAGGATTCAAACCGATCGAGCCGCTTTTGAGTTTTAGCGAGACTAACGGACAGCAATCCATTTTTATCATAGAATACTATAATACATACATAATAGAACGGGGAGTGGGCGGAGCCCGCGTAGCCACTAACACGTTAATTCACACGTATAAATGTCAACACGAGATGTGTTTTGACGTTACAATCGTTTCCAAATTTCGCATGCAAATTATTTAAAAAATGCCAAATTGCACCCTATTTACAAATAAATATGTATTAAAATTTAATGATGATCTTGAACATTAATCAAAAGTCTAAAATGTGTAAATTTACTCAGTCTGTCAACACAGCGAATTGGGTTTGGCGGCGCTAATCCTCGTATAAAATAAAGTTGACAGCCATTCTATTGTGTATTATAGTATTCTATGAATTTTATATATGGAGATAAATATGCAACAATACAATCTTTACTTCAGAAAACTCGTCCTTAATAAAATAAATTAAATTTAAATACATTTTCATTTGCAAATTAAACCTCTGCATGGGCTGGGAAGTAAGAGTATTGTCAAAAACTTCGCTGTACAGATGCGCGTGTCAGTTAAAGGTAATAAAACCACATACAATTTGCAATTTATTTAAATTTAATTTATTTTTTTATGGTCGAGTTTTCTCAAGTTATTTCTATGCATTCGAATACTGATTCTGATTAAGCCCACTTAGTGGGAACCGCATGGTTTTTGTCCATAAAGAATACAATCATGGGTTCTACCATGTTTCATTACGTCATCACTCAGTGCAATATTAATATACCTAATTTATTATTTACTTTTTTGATTCATTACAGTTATTAAAATCCCATTTAAATTATAAAACTGACTGACACTGTAATAACAATAATTATTATGGTGTACACTTTATATTTAAATTTATTATTTTGTTAATAATGATCAAACTCACACCTGTTGACCGTGTGCTTGCGCATTCACGAGCTATCACACGTGCTCTCTATATTCCCTCACTCTCATAACCTATATTTCGTCATAGCTAAAAGTATTGAGCTTAATTATTATTTTATTTTTGGTATCATAGTTGTTATCTTGTTTTGCATTACAAGCACTATTAAATTTGTTACATAAATATGCACACGCGCACGCACCCGCGCAAACATACGCACACACACACACACAAACACACACACACACGCACGCACACGCGCACACACGCACACACACACGATTTTAAAATGTTTCGGAAGTATTATGCAGTGGAAATTATATTTTTGCCAACATCGTCTTAGTTTCTACATTTGTTTGGAGCTGGCTTCGTAGATACAGTTTCACCTACATTAAGAGTTACGGACGCTACGTTTCGTAAAAAGTTATTGCTGAAATAAAGCTATTATTATTATATTAATATGTTGTCATCTTAAACCGTAGTACAAAATTTTAAAAAGTATTAATAATTTCAGTTATTTTGTGATAATCTGCAATTGAATAAAATTTCTAAAGAAGAACTGCGTTCTATTATGCAAGAATGTTCATTATACCATACGCAGCTAGTAAAGGAAGCGTCTATGGGACAAGGTTTTGATAGGCATTTGTTCGCTTTGATGAAACTAGCTGAAGAGAACAATTTGCCGCGGCCAAAATTCTATGATTCCCATGAATATAAGTTCCTCAATAAATCCATATTGAGTACAAGTACTCTATCCGCTCCAAGTGTAATGGCTGGCGGTTTCGGACCTGTTACTAAAGAAGGCTTCGGAATCGGGTAAATAACTACATACATACTTTAGTCATTAAAATTTTATATTCTTGAAAATTATTTCCAATTTAAATTTTGGAATACGTGTATAATCTACATTGTTTTGTGAAAAAAAAATTGAAGTTTTATATATTGCATATTTCTTTTAATCTCTCGACATGCTTTGTCTATTTAATTCACTAAGTTTAAAGAATATAATAAAAAATAATAATTTTTATTCAATATAAATTATAAACAATACTTACTGAATGAATATTTCAGTCATTTTAATACTTTTGCCACTGGTTCCCAAAAAAAAAAATCCAGTCCTAAGAAGAACTAGCAAAGAAAAAAGTGCACGGGACTTTTTCTTTAAAGCTATATTTTACAATTAAATATATATGTTCTATAGTTAATAAAAAAATCAATTAAGAAATATCTTGGAAACAATCACATTATTTTTAGAAAAATAATGTGATTGTTTCCAAGATATTTCTATATAATAAACTATGTATTTCTTTATTTTATAAATTATGTTTTTATACCTAGTCTTTGTTTTATAAAAAAATTAAACTTGGCACACGGAACTTGTATATTTTCTGCGACTATTACTGACAAATTACCCGACAAATTACTGATTCTGTGTAGTCAAGTAATTGGTACGTGCTTGTGTTTTTCTAGAATTTACAGATTGTTTATAACATTTGTATTAACAGTGTTTTTCGTAATAAATAAGATAATAAGGGGCTAAATTTATGTATTCACTCTAAATTTTTCTCTCTTTACTTTCTGTCACATTTCTCCTTCGATTTTTACAACAGGGGTAATATACAGATGGATTATCTTTACGCCTACTTTTATTTCTTTTACCGTGTCAAAGTATTACCCTCCGTACTTTTATTCCTTTTACTTTATCTAAATGTCATAGAACACTATTAACGTAAATTTTTACTTTCAGATACTCTGCCTTTCCTGACAAACTGGGTGCTGCTGTGACCAGCTATAAGGCACATAATGATAGTGCTCAATTTATAGAAGCTTTGCACAAGTCGTTCATCGATATTACGGAAATATTGTCCGGTTAGTTATTTATTAACGTCATTGCCATCCTATTTTGTCGCCAATGGGATTTATTATATTCTTTTTTAGTATATTATATTATGCAAATATTATTTATATTCAAAAAATTACGAATGTTATCATGTTAAAATTATTTATTTTTTCATATAATTAAGTTGTATATTTTTTAATAAAAAAGAAAGAAATATTTTGTTCATCATGAATTTTCTTAAATTTTATTGCATTTAAAATGTAGATAGGACTGACTTCCCTTATGAAACAGGACTGACTTCTGTTGCGAAATAAACGTGCCGAGCGAGATACTGCACACATAGGTCATTTATCCTTTTATTGTACATCGGTATATTATGTACTTATGTAACACTAGATTTCGCGATCCGAACACTCACTCTGTGCAAGTGAACTGTAATGAAATCCGTATCCATGCAACTTACTTTAGTGTGGGTGTACAGTGTAGGCGAGTACGGAAAGGCGCTAATAATAAGAGAATACGAATTGAGGTGTTAACCTGTACGTAAATAACAATCAGAAGTCAAGAGGGCTTAAATAAACGCATAACAATTAGTTTTCTATTACTTTTCTATTTTATTTATTTATTTATTTAAATATTTATATATATTAAGGTACATCGAATCGAGATTGAACGAAATGCTTAAGCACCATGAAATTCCTGGCGTTTACGACTGTTTAGTAGCGTGAAAACTGTACTCTATAAGCGATGATGTGCTTCAGGTATAATCTGTCAACTATACCTATTAGTTACTTGCTACGAAAGCTTTATTTTACACTTAATAAACAAGTAGGGATAAGATCACGATTGTATTTATGTATATTATATGACGTCAAACACCTCTGGTCCACATCGGTCTCCTACATGCCAAATTTTTAGATCTGGCCAAAGAGTATAGTAATATTTAGGAAGGACCCCTCAGAACCACAGAGTACATTATATTGCTCAGAACCATAAATAAGAATGTTTAGAACAATCCTTCTTTAAATATTATAAGAATTATATTACATGTCTTAAACGCAAAGCGGGTTCAACTATCGACTAAAAATCAAGAATCCAACATTGAGTCGCATTAAATCGTATATAACAATCATATTGAACATATAAATAATATATAAAAAGCACATTGTTAGAAAAATAAAAGATTGTTGAACTCATTATATTCTTTTTTTAAATCGATTAATTGCTATTTTTACATTAAAGAGTGGTTTTAGTGGCTTATGGTGTCCATTTATCAAGTCCGCATGGCGGGGTAAACACGATAACTTTTAAAAATATGAATTGTTCAACACAATCTATTTTTTAATCTCTTCATCTATCATTTGGGAAACCAACGAATGTAAATGGCTGTTTAATTTTGTTTTGTTTAGTTATAATGAATTTTTTTCGGCTGAAAAATTCCAAAATTTTGGATGTTCCAGCAGCCTTGTAATAAAATATTTTATTAAATACAGATCCACTTTCACTCACTGCGGGCTCGGCCACTGCCGTGAGTGGATTACTGTATCGTTTGTTTACAGCGGCTCGTAATGAAAAATATACATCGCTGTAGAAATACAAAATATTCCGAAAACCAAATTTGATAAATACTTGACCAAGGTAATATATTTTTTTTGTAATTACAGATTTTCATTACAGTATATTGTTTGGGTAAAAGTACGTAGGATTTATATATAAGGGTCAATCAACTATTCTTTGTACGCAAACAATTCGATTCAAAAAATAAATTAAAAAATAAAAGTGTAAATTAATTGTAAATTCTACCTGAGCAATCAAAAGTAAGGATATTGAAAATTAAAATTAAGCTATCAGCAGTGCAAGTTTTTAATAATAAAACATATTTTTCAGTATTTAAAATGTTGTTGTTCGTGTTTTTCGTCCCCTGTGTTACTTACTGATATATGGTTTTCATTCGAATAAAACAGTTACATATTGTTAGAAAAGTTACACCGGTATTAAGTAATGCTAAGAAATATAAACCCAACAAATTAAATATCAGAAGAAGACTTACGATAATAACAAACTTATACAATGTTATTACGTCTCTTAAGTTACTTTTCAATGTTTTGAGAAATAATTTTTAATATCAGTTCAAAGTCACTAATGTTCAAACTAGCTTTTCAAGATGTGTGAAGTCATTACTTTGCCAATTCTCGTAAATACAATTTTGATGTAAGAAAATACTTTTTCATATGATTCAGTTGCAATGAATCTTTTCAAATTTTAGGGACAAATCAGTAACTTCAGAGACATTTCGGTAACTTAATAGACATATTATTATATCCTCAAAATTGGTTTATTTATCACGAACATTATTATGGATACGTAACACAATAAGAAAGTATAAAAAATAAACTTAACAAGAATTTTTTTAAAAATTAAAAAAAAAACGAAATGCCCTCTAATAATATAAATATAATTAATTTGAATCAGTAACAATATCAAGTTATTTTTAAATGTTACTTAATCTTTGTACTACATATTTAATATCACTTATTTTCTTTAGTAACATGGTCAATATAAAGGTTTACTATTAACGTAACATGTAGGCTCAGTAAAATCTTAGTCAATAGTTTCTTTAATATCAGTCTTCTAATCAGTATATTATGTACTATAAATCAAAACAAGTAATTTTATATTATCATTGTAATAATGAGTAATAAAATATTATTTTTCGTATATGTCTAATTGTTCTTGAAATTTATAATAGACTTTTCCGTTCTTAATTATTTGTTTTGGTGTAGGGAGAATTTTTATAATATCATTAAATTCAACAAACGCTATATCGTTTTCGTCTAATTTAAACTTAGTTGCACCCTTGTATGCCCGGAGAAATATCACTTTAATCTCGCCATCGTCTTCGAGATCACTTTGTGCAAGGCTTGCGTAAGTATAAGTTTTATTCTTACCAGCGTGGACGCTTACTAAAAGGAAATCTCCGTTACTTGGCAGCATTTTATTATTCCCAGAAGTCGTAGGCTGATTTTCTTCATTAGATGCGTCTACGGAACCGTAAACCATATCGTAAACAGCTCCTCGTTTACCCGCGTCCTTGGCTAAGTCTGTGCAGTTTATTTCTGCTAGTGCTTTGCTAGCAGTAGTTACTGTAGCTCCGGAACACCTCGATTTGATTCTGTTAAGAGGTACATCATCGTCAGAAGGCATAGAAGACGAAAGAGTGTTAACGATATTATTATCACCACATGCACCACTAGCATCTGCTGAATCCGTAGGAGATGAAGGAATCACCATCGCAGTATCATTGTCGACTGATGCATCAGCAGTTGTTGTTGATACCAGAGGAACAGGATGGTAAATTTTAGGTTCTAAACACTTGCAAAATCCCCGTTCGCAAAAACAACTCAACGTACGAGTACTTGGAATTATTTGTTGTGGAGTATTTGGAAGTGAACAGTTGGTGCATGTGCAAAGTACCTTGTAATCTTGTAATGTTTCTTGGAAGCTCTTTTGAAATATTTTCGATATCTTCTTTAATTATTACATACAGTATAATCTTGCTCGTTCCCTGCAAAGCACTAACGAATTGTTCAATATTTGAAATGTCCTTCTCTCTGGCAACAATACCGTCTGCTGTTCGGTTTAAAAAATCACCAATGCCGTCAGAGGGTCCTTCGCCGTGGCCGGCTTCAAAAAATGACCAGGTCACCGCTTCAACGTCATACTCAAAGGGTTTTGTACAAGCTAAATAAAAATTCTGTTTTTGCCTATTTTGCGTGAAAGGACCATCGCTAAAAAAATGAAGAATTTTTACTTCAGGGAACCTAAATTTGATTTTTCGCAAGATAGGATGCAAATGCACCCAAATTGCAGCAGGCTGATGCAGAGTATGAGATGATACGGTATAAAAAGATTCAGCAATAATTTTTTTTGTCCAAATTGACCATGTAAACCATAACCGTGTGGAGCGAAAGTTGCTGCCTGGATCCACCAAAGTGATGTGCCTGTACTTCCTCATTATATTTGCAGTTGTAGTTTTCGCTAAAATCTACTAGAATGGTGGCTTCGTGTAGTTGCATTTCGTCGATGCAGCGTCTAAAGTTTTTGTATTGAGTTTTTATATTATATACATGCTTTTTCAGTAGAATCAGCTCTATTTCGAAATCTTTTATTAAATATTCTATTTCTACTTCTTTAGTTTCTTTCACATTTTTAATAGATTTAATGTGTTTTCCGTCTTTAATATATCTGTCCTCTTTTCTAGTCCATTCGCTAAAATACACTTTACCTTTAAACTTTGTTTTGTCATAGTTAAGCTTCTTTCTTTTACATTCATGACAAGATCCATACATGCAGTCCTTATTCGTAGAATCACAAACAGTGTACATTATTATTTCACTCAAAACTTTTGTTTCCAGTATCCGTTTACCATGTAATGCTATTGCCTTGTACATTATGTTGGAATGAATTTTTCACAGGCACATCTCACGCCCATCGACTTATGGTACTTTTATATACCAGGGCCGATTTTTGGTAAAATAAAAATAGGAACATCTCATATCTGGATTTTCTTGCTTAAAGGTTTTGTAGAGATTCTTCATAGTATCCAAAAGACATCTCTTTTGGACTTTATGTTTATCTTTCGTGACTGTTTCTTTCTTACCTGCTGTGGTTCTGGATACATCATCTCGCTTAAAGAAATTCTTAATTTTGTTTTGCAAATCTGTCTTACCTTTATTTCGTTTTAAACTCGATCTCATTGTTCCTACCAAATTCAACTATCCTTCAACAACTGTTTCTTTACTCTCGATTCACGTACTGTAGAGCCAATGAATATTCGTTTAAATAATCGTTTTTCAGCCATTTTTTTTAATATTCTTATATCTTTGACTAATAGCGCCTGTTAAAATTTTATATTTCTTTGAGTCTGTATTCTTAAATTCTTCCTGGTTTTTATTTTTAATTCGATAAAACCTTTTCTTGTATTTTTCATACTTGAGTTTTAGTTTTTCGTTTTCCTTTTCGAGCTTTTGGTTTTCTATAAATAATTTAGTTCTATCTCTTCTTACAGCTTTCCTTCCTCTCTTTACTTTACTTGTACTTGAACTCACAGCAGGGGAAACTATTCCTTGGTTTCGAAGCAATATTTGCTCTTTGTCAAATCGTTGTGGTGCAGGAGATCCGGGAGGTGTAATATTAATTACATTTTAAGCGCTATTTTGCGTTGACGTTGTTGGCGTTTACGAAGCTTCCAAATTGTCCGTGCATTACTTTTCTCCTTAGCGGATAAATCTTTAATCAGTATTTTATTTTTGTGATAGTATGTTCTTTGCTTTTTTTTAGTTTCTTTATATTTTAGCGGATCTTTTTTTTAATTTCTCCCGATATCGTTTTTGCTTTTCAGCCGCTGTAAGAGCCATGTTTATGATATGTCTGTAACAAAAACAATTGTGTTTACTACTAACGACCGACCCGGCTTCACAAAGGCGGTTAGAAATAGAACAACTTCAAATAATGCAACGATAAATGTCCACCGAGTTACCATTAGGTCCCCTAAGTTACCATTTACAGTAACTCAAGGGACCGGTAACGGAGGAGACTTTTGTAGGTTATAACTTAATCATAATACTTTTTCTCAAGAATAATACAGAATTGATTGTTACAATGAAAAACAGACGTATTTAATGTAATCCATGACAATTATTGCACTGTATTAAAGAGTACTTACCAATTTTTACGTTGAAACTCTGGGGACACCGAATAAACACATACACGTTATCATACGCCACGCGGGCAACTAGCGGTGATTGGTTAAAAATCAAAATGGCGGAATCATGTGAAACGAGTACCAGTAAGTCAATGCTTCGATTAATCACAACTAGAGCCATCTATGACTTCATGTACGTAATACAAGAATAGTCACTGAAGGGACATTGATTTTAGTATCAAATTGGGGACAAGATTTGTAAAATTAATAAAAAAATATTATTCTGCTTAATTCTACTATGATTTATTGAATATTAAAGGGAAAACTATTATATAATTGTAATAGTGCGATAACGATTTACAACATAGGCAGTGGGGACAATGAGATTTTATATGGAGATAGTGATGAGGTCCCCTAAGTTACCAATAAAATTAAAATAATTTGCCATCGATTAGATCGAATTTATATTAGATAATACAGCTATCTATTCTAGCTTTATCTGTACAGTAATAAAATATTAAAAGGTTTTGCATATTTTGCAGATATTTATTTTTTTGTAATGAGGACATGGATAGGAACAAAGAATAATTGATTGACCCATAAATATACTTATAAGTCTTGGGCTTTACGGAGTGACCTGAGTGAATGCTATATTAAAATACTGGTTAGATATGACTACATGAAAAATTTTTTGAAAACTAAATAAAGTTGATGAGAAAAAGAAATTATTAACGAGTCAGGTAAAAAAGACTAGTTTTTACGATAATGCCTTCTTATTTTTTTAAAACCTTTATTTTTTACTAATAAATATAAATATATAAAGAAAAAGAATAAAATATAATAGATTTTTTATATTCTTTGATGATATATAAATAAAAATGTCTTTAGACTTCTTAAGATAATAAAGTTAATATTTTTCGGAGTTATGAAATTCTAAATGTTTGAAAAATGCCTAATTCAAAATTTATATGTGCAAAATAATAAAATATAAAAGATATATTTTTTATATTCTTTAGACAATAGTTAATCCATCCTTCATCATCCAATACTTAAGTGAGAATTAAAAAATAAATTTATACATTTATTTATATATTTTTAAACAGTAACGAAGTACGTACCGTGTGCTGGAACGGTACACCGACACTGACTGATCGGCTAGGTTAGGTGAAATTCGTATATTTCAAAAATAATACTTAACCTTTTGAGCGCCAAAGTCGCCTATACTTGACCAGCACTTGCGTGCCCTGAACGCCAACGAAGTCTATAGTTGACAAAAAACCCGGCCCACAAAAATATGAAATATAGATATTGAAAAATTATTACTGGTATTTTAATTCTACACTCCTCAAAAAAGAATAACCCAGCAACATGTGAGTATAAAAAGCAAGTCTCCTGGCCACAAGTACTAAGAAACATTGAACTAAAAAAATGGATTTTTATCTAAGCAAATACTATGTCCAACACGCTAAAGTCGTCTATGTTTGACCGCTAGTGTTGTAATGCGTTAGGCGAAGATTTATTGAAAACTATTCAAAATTAAACGCAAACGTGTTATTTTTTTAATTATTATTGTCGATCTCTGTATATTTTGGTTAGATCGATTTCAAAATCAATACACAACGTGCGACACGGCTACATCTCTAAGAAAGTTTCAAAAAGGAAGGTCAGCTACGCCGTTGTCGTCCAGTCGTGACAGTGACGTCATCACGATAAGGGTAGTGTTGTGGTTTACTACTATTTTATTGTTATTGTTTGTATTTTATTTATGTACAAAGTACATATATAAAAAGAGTGGAAGACACTGCAAGATTAAATAAAACATACCAGATTATAAAGTCATTTATTGCATAAAAAACCAACAAAATCAAGTTTTTTTTTTTGTTATTGATATATCAACTCTTGGCAACACAATTTTTTTCGTAGGTATTATTGTTTGCTTTTCGCTTTGGCGTACAGGACACGGTAATGCGTTTTTGGCGTGGCGCTCAAAAAGTTTAAAAAGGCTCTTATTACATAGCCACGTAGTTTAGGTAAGGAAGGTAATAAAAATCGACTACTGAAATAAAACCTAATACTAAATCTAAATTGCATAATGCGTAAATAAAGTCGCGTTATAACTCGTTCTAATATTCCAACTTTATCAACGTGACAAAGTCGCGATGATTTTTCATTGTGACTCTTTGGGGACCGTAACGGCGGTCACGGTTATTAAAAAAAAACACTTTTCCAAGTCTAGTTCCAGGGGATGATATGGATATTCATACACCGCCACTACACGTTAATTGATAACTTCTCTTATTTATCGACGTCTTGCAATCGTCGTTTCACTAGCGCTCACTTTACCTTCATACACATAATTCGATATTTTAATTGTTGATATTTTTTATTTTTGGATAAGAATATAGTAAAATTTAGCAAAATGAGTCTTAAGTACGTATATACCTTAACTTAAAATAAATATTGTCCTTGACCTGACTTTTTTTATTATACGCGAGCAGCTATGCAGGTCTAGCGAAAGAGACCAGTATCACTGCGACCTAGAAGATCTATTGTGATCAGCAGAGCAGTCATATTGACCTGACTTACTAGGTATATTTTTTGGCTTGACAGTCCGAATCTGACTAAGTTGGTTCAATAAAATGTCGGAGCCTGGTCGGTTAATGGGTAATCAGACTTAAAAAAAATCTTACTGCATATGCCAGTAACTGTGCAGTGAATATTTTTACGTAAGTACTCTCAAAACTAGTTACCTTTTCCTTTGGATTCATTTGACTGATATATAATAAAATAATGTTTTAGATACTATATTTTCTCAAATCGAATAATGAGCCTGATTAAGGCGTTTTGTAATTTTTCGGTAATAAGTAAATAACTAGGAAATATTACAGATGCAAAAGTAAGTTTTTTGTTGCGCCTTCACGTCGTTAGTTTATATGCATTCACAAAACAAACGGCAAGTCACAATTCTGCATCTGTTACAAATCAATACAAGGAAATCAAAACATTACTCTTCCTGACTTAAAGTATATATTATGAAGCTAACCACGTTCAAAATTATCGCATGGAATGCCGTGCTATTTATATTTCTTAAAATTCTATTTTACACTGTTTTATACAGATCTCAGTCCTATTTTATGGATGAATGTTTCAAATCAATATCAAGACATATCAATAGAATATTAAATAAAAACTATAATACAAGCAAACATTCATTTTAAATTATATCAGTTTTCTTTGAAAATTAATATTTTGTAATTATAGAGTTCAAATTGTAATAATCATCAATATAGATGAGTAATTAGTTTAGTATAGATGAGTTTATAATTTTTCTGGTTCCTATTAAACACCTAATTTTGCTTGTAAACTCTTGAACGCAATTCCAACTAAAGAGGAAGATTGAGCAATCCTATTTATTACAAATAATAATTCACTATAAAATTATACTGCCCTGATACGGAAGAAGGCGGCTAAGCCACAAAAGTATGTTTCGAGAAAAATTGAAAAAAAAGCGCGAAATTGGTTTTCTTGATAGATATCACCGAAAAAATATTTTCAACTATTGGAATCCATGTAAAAAAAAAATTACGAATCTTTCACAAATACTTTTGAATGAAATTATTGGCATACTGTTCTGTAAACTCTAAA